TTCTTCTTTTTCTCATGCTTCTGTTCTCCCTCTTCTTCTCAATCTCTCTTCCTTCCCCTATAATTCTCCTTCTGATTCTTCAATTGAGATCTCCATTCCATTCCTTTGATAGATTAACTCGCTGAGAAGATCTAGTTCTGACTCCGACTGTTACAACTTGGTATTAGAGCCCACTCTTGGGAATCATGTTGCTGGAAGCGGACAATCAGATATTCGACACCATCAACTCGAAATTGGACCATATGGAAGGCCAATTTAATGAAGTATTACAAAGATTGGATGAATTGCGGCGACGATGGTCATCGGAGGGGGTTGGCGGCACGGCTGTTCAGTTCGTGAGCATGGTCGACAGTCGTGGAACTTTTATACCGTCCCCTATGCATGGACAAGCTGAGTCGGAGAGATGCTAGTTGATTGGCTACGGCGATTTTCCGAATAATGGTGGTATCTCAATGGGTCAAGGAAGCGACCCTCCACCTGTTCGACGAAAAGCCGAGCGGGAGGTTTCTTATCTGTCGCGGGCTGCAATTTCAGCATTTCAGGGTGCTAAAACAGAGTGCGAGTTCGTTGACAATTTGTTGCATCTTTTGGCGGCATTTCTGACTCGCGATCGTGTTTCCAATCGTTCCCCTGCTACAACCGAAATTCCTGGCCAAACTGACGGTAATCCTACTACTCTGCCCTTGGAAATTCAGTTTTTCAATGGTGAGAATCCTAAAGAATGGATTAGGTTGTGTGAGAACTGTTTTAGATTGTATGGAACCCCTGAGCATGAGAAAGTTGAAACGACGGCAGTCCACTTCGGGCATAGGTTAGATGTATGGTTTGAGAAGTGGAGTTCTCGTCGTCCGGTCTTGGTTTGGGGTGAGTGATAGGGCAAAAGCGTAATGCCAATTCCTATCTTGTAGTAAAACCGGAAATCCGGGTATCGTCTCTCAAGGACTGGTACAACCTTTTAATTTATCAATTCTTTGGAGAAAACTATAGGTGAAAAATGGTTTGGTTGATAAACTTATTAACTAATAGCAAGATAAATAAACTAATTAAGCAAAGTAAATTTGTCGGGAGAAAATCAATGGGGGAAAGCTCTGGGAGAAACACCGGGACTCGCTACCTATCATATCCAAATTAATTCACATATTCCAATCAATTTAATCCATATCTCTACAGCCAGGATATCACTATTGTGCTAGCTATCCCTGTCGGGAATTACTACGTACTAAACAATTTAATCAAATCCTACTGTCGTAGCTCAATGACTTAATTATTTAGCCTGAAGATCGATATCCCATTTAAGACCGCATAGTACCTTATTTAATCCACTGTCGCTTCGATAAGTTACTATGTCACATGAAATAGGTTCAGTTATTAGGGTTTCACTATCGCTAATAACCTAATTAATAACAAATCAATGTATTGGTGGCCAGTCAACACAAAGCATTAAGTAATTTCATGCAATAGAGATTGGGAGAAAAGAATTATGAATCAATCCATCAAATATAGAAATAGCTACATCCTATGGTATTTCCCCCAGAAATCGGGGTTTAGTTCATGACGAAACTGAGATAAAACAATAGGGTTTTGTTCATCAGGTTCTAAATCAACAATAAACAAATAATCCGGACTAGAAAATCCAACCAAATAACTTGTTTTTGTTGAAAGCTCATGTCGCCTTGGGAGAAATCACTCGCCGAGCTGCTGTCGCCAAATCGCGTTGCTCGCTAGTCGCCAAATCGCGTTGCTCGCGTCCCCAAGCCTTCCGCTCGCCCTCTGCCTTCTTCTTTTCCCCCCAAAGCAATTCTCTCTACAATTCTAAGTCCCAAAAATAATCCTCCCTCCTCGGCCGCTTGTTTTTTTTCCTTCCCATTATAAGTCTCTGGCCCACTTCTCTTGCCAGAGAATTTCGTGTCTGCTCCCACCTTGCGTCCAATTCAGCTGGGCCTTGAGCCCAATTCCGTGTCCCAAGCCGAAATAATCACCAGCCAGCCCTTAATATCCCTCCAGCATCCTCCCACGCTGCCACTTCCGGCCCATTTAGGCCCACTGCACATCCTAGCCCAAGTCAGTATTCCACCAATGATTCGAGCCCGATTGATTGCTTGTGCACTCGCTGCTTTTTCGTGCTTTCTCCACCTGTAACATATCAAACTCATGGCACTCGGCAGTAATGGTTTTTCAACCATTCCCGGGTTAGCGAGCCCTAAAATAGCACCAATTGGCTTAAATATATCATGGGATAGTCACATAAAGTTCAAGAATCCGATATATTAAAGCCGATTATCACAACCCCACACTCAATTGTTGCTTGTCCCTAAGCAATGACTCAAACAACACAGACACATAACCATCCACAACAATGACACATCACAGACTCACCAAGTAAACACTAGACACAAAAAAAAAAATTCCTTTCTCAACGGATGAGCTGTGCTTTATTGATCATACCCTCTCACCCCACACTCAAGGTCTTGCAACCATTTAACCATTGACTGACTCAAATCCACCAAAATCTCAAATAGCAACACTCAATTCCGATCGTCAGTAGTGGGTGATTAACAACTTATGGTGTAACAGTTATTAGGAGAATCTAACCACATCTGTGAGGTGCATATCTCGTGAGGACAATCTGGCTTACTCACACCAATCATAAGCAATTAACTAAGCATGAATCTCAAAAACAAATGGGGGAAGCCTTTCGCAAATATGATTTTAACTTTAAGCACATCACTACCTTATATGACAAGGAGAGGTTTTCTCTCTTTCTGATTTTGCTTGCCGAGTGGTCGTATTTAGTACAAGTGGGATTTGTTTCTTACTACCGGTGACCGAGCAAGAGCAATTTCTGCTTCTTAGCACTCGCATAAGGGCTTCTTTTAACTCCTTTTCCTCGGTCCGTGTGGAGGGTCATTGCACATCCTCTAATGGCACTTCACTCAACTGGGGAGATCGTACTCGATAAGCAACATCGTACGGTCGCGAACCGATTCTCAATTGAATCTTTCCTAATCCCCATGTGCAATGAGTGATTGCCTCACACGATTTTGGTATTTTACCCACACTTTAATTGTTATGGCAACTTTCTTATCTTTTACTTGTCAGGTACTGTTTTCTCATTTATAAAGATACAGTTCACCCCATTTAAAACATTCAAAACAGAGAGACTCAATGCAAAGTCAAAAGCTTACAACAACTGCAAGTAAGCACGGTATCCAAACATGTCGAGTGGTCAATGTTCTCCACCTAACTACTTCACCAAAAGTCATTGCACTATCCTCACAAAATAGAATGTTGCTAATGGAGTTTGCTAATTCAAAGCGCATCAAGTCAGTGAAAACATTCAAGCTCATTGTGAAGAACTTTGCGATTCAACACTAGTGGGGTGATTTCGATGATTTCATTCAAGCACAAACTCATTTCACACGCATCACGGTCATTTACATCATGTTACCACAAGAGTATAAGGTTTTGTTTTTAATTTTTCTGATTTTTAGGTGGTTTTTAAGCCATTAGCTTTGCACAGGCAGAATGCATCAACACAGGCAAACTGCATGCAGTTTGGCTGTGCTCAACCTAATGGCTTTTTTTTATATACACATGACGAGACACTGTGGACAACTAAGGCTGGACACCTAAACATAAAACACAACAAGAACACAGACCATCCACCCCACACTCAGGATGGACATTGTCCACAATGTCTGCTACTACACACGACACACCAACAGGTTCACCTAGCTAACATAATTACAGACCATCATCCACTACGAGAAATATTCACAAAGAAAAGAAGAAAAGAAGAGAAAAAAGAACCTCGGGACAAGCTCCTACGAAGAAGGGGTCGATGAAGAAGTACTGAACTTCTCATCTAGACGCTGGCTAAGCTCCTTGATTTTCTAATCTTTCTCTGCGTCTCTGGCTTCCAAGATAGCTATTCTAGCTCTGAGATCGTCTCCAGATGATGGTGAAGCTGGTAAAACTGGTGGGCTAACTCATGGATGCAGAACTAGAGGTGTATGTGACTGCTGGCTCTAGCTGACACTCGTGGCAGAGTGCCCTGCTGGTGCTGGTGCTGGGGATGATGAACAAGCACCCAGAGGTGCGAGTGTAGGAGTTGGAGCTGTTGTCGGAGTGGCTACCGATGGTGCTGGAGATGATGCTGAAGCTGAAGTTGATCTAGCAGCCTTTGCTGCCCTTTTCCGATTGTTTTCAATCTCCCACTCCTTATATTTGGCGATGGATAGATACTCACCACGACATCCTGCTCTCCTAATAAAACCCAATTTGCCTAACGCTGTTTCCCCAACCAGAAACGATCCCTCACTCATCTCGAAACCCGTAGGGTTCTCTAGTAACCCCCAGTAAGCTCGAGCTAAGGTTGTAATGATTCCCCCACACATAATAATACCTCCACATGTTTTGTCTGCTTCATTTTCAAACATCTTACCCACCATGTACCCAACACACAACGGTGCTCCAGTGACGAAACTGTGAATGTACCTGAGATCAGTAGTGTAGACACCACTGGCATTGGATCCCTTTCCCAAGACAGTTCGAGCCAAGTGGTCATGTACTAGTGGGATCACAGGATCTCGGATAGATGCTCTCCTCGAAGAACTAGGATTGAAGTCCTTTCCATTTGCCAAAATTGTCTTCCAAAACGCTCCCAAATCCTGTTCTTCATCAGGAATTGCATCTGCTGCACCATCGAAGTAAAGTGCTCGGTTCACTTTGCTCAAAGTGAGGGACTTGGTTTGCCCGGCCAAAGTACTCTGGTGAGGTGTGGATATGTGGGGAAGTGCAGCTCCGGAAATCTTTCCCAATTCATCTTGCGGAAATATGCCATCACCTCCTCAGCCCGCTCGGTCTTCTTCAATGCTTCATAGTCCATGAACTTAGATGGGATGACCTCTCGTTTCATCAGATCTGCATAATCCTCTTTATGTTGCTGGAGCTGGAGAGGTCGACCGAACGTCTTAGAGACGTCCTTTGGAAGAGAAGAATCAGCCTTCTTCTTGCTTGCAACTGGGGTAGTACGACGTGGTGTCGTGGATGGTGCAGGTGCTGAAGAATAACTCTGCCTCTGTGGTCGTGAAGATGAGCCCGGTTGCTGGAGACGAGTCCTCTTTGCTGCCTGCTCTCAGGTGATACAACTGGTGTTGAATTTGAGCAGGCTGCTGTGATGGAGATGGAGCTGGAGAAGTCATCTCAATAGTCCGGGACCGCATCGTGGGTCCAACCTGGCCGGTGATCACCCTGTGAAACCGAGCTAGCACGCTGACTGCTTGAAATCGTGGGGGAACTTCGGGAATTGGGCTGTCTCGATCAGTCACCTTGTGGCTGTCTTCAATAGTCCACGAACGGTACACAATCTTCCCATCCACACTTTGATCAGTGACTTTGAATTGCCGAGGTGGAGGGGTATATCTTCGACGTCCCATACTTGCAACCAAGGATGCAAACTGGGAAAAGACAAACTTCTTTAGCCTTCACTCTACTTGAATCACCAAATTTTCACACCTCTATTACTCTTCTGACAAAATTCCAATTCAATGGCACCACATCAGCAAATCCCCAATTCTGGAACCTCAACTCAACCAATCCTCAAGCTGCAAATTCCAATCAAAACCCACCAAGTATACGACAATGTCGAATTCAGCTCATTCACCCATAAAATCTCCTGTAAATCTCCTTCTAGACAGTAGTTCCACTTCACTTGGACCAATCAATCAATCATCACACTCCAATTACACCTCATATTCGATTAGGCAAAATCCCTAATTTGAAGAACCCTAATTTTCGAATTGCTTCTCTAACTGGTGAATCTTGGTGAATCAGACCTGGGGAAGGGAGATAGAGCTTGGAGATGATGGAGGAGGGGTGCTGGGATCCGGCGAAGACCGCCAGAGACGCCCGGCGAGAGAGCTCTATGTCGGAGCTGCTGCTGATGTCGACGACGCGAGCTACTGGGGATGAGCTCAAGCTCGCCGCGACGAGGGAAGAGGCGCGGAAGAGCGCGAGTGGCTGGCCGCGACGACCAGTGGCCGAAGGGGCGAGGCGGTGGACAAGCGGCGCGACGGCACGGCAGGAGGGGCCTCTGGTTCATCGTGTTTGCTGGGTGGAAGAAGAAGGAACGAAGGGGAAGAAAGGCCCGACTCTGTTTTTTTTTTTTTTTGTTTCTCCTTTTTTTTTACACGAGAATCTCCCTTTCAGTCCCCCTTCCTTCTCAAAAATTTCAGATTGGTCCTTCCTCCCATTTTCAGTTTGCTTGTGCGAATTTTGCAGCCTCCCTGTGCTTCCGCAGCCTGCCTGTGCTTCTACAAAACACCAAATAATACCTTCCTCAAAACTTTTGGAGCTGAAATTTGGCGGAGAGCCTCTAGACACACTTTAAAACTAAAAAATTGAAAAAAATTTAAAGAAAACATCACCTTGGCTTGCCTCCCAAGAAGCGCTTGTTTTTCGTCGCTAGCTTGACGTAAAATAGCTCATTCCAGATGATATGTTGAGATTTCCAGGACGGAAACCCCTTCAATATAGTGCTTGAGCCTCTCACCATTCACCTTAAACGCCCCTAGATCACCAAGAATCTCGATTGCACCATGTGGGTACACTTTGGTCACCGTAAATGGTCCGGACCACCTTGACTTCAATTTTCCAGGGAAGAGTTTAAGGCGTGAGTTGAAAAGTAATACTTTCTCTCCCACCTTGAACTCCCTTCTCAGTATGTGGTCATCGTGCCACTTCTTCGTTTTCTCCTTATAAATTCGGGCATTTTCATAGGCATTAAGCCTAATCTCATCGAGCTCATTCAGTTGCAACAGGAGCTTCTCTCCAGCAGTTTGTAGATCAAAATTCAGCTTCTTGATAGCCCAATACGCCTTATGCTCGAGCTCGACGGGCAAGTGGCAAGCTTTATCAAACACCAATCTGTAAGGAGACATGCCTAAAGGAGTCGTGAAAGCAGTCCGGTATGCCCAGAGTGCATCATCTAACTTCCTTGCCCAATCTTTCCTTGTTGAATTCACTGTAGTCTCCAGAATGTGTTTCAGTTCTCTGTTGGAAACTTCCACTTGCCCGCTGTTTTGTGGATGATAGGGTGTGGCCACTCGATGCTTAACCCCATATCTGGCCAACAACGTATTCAACTCCTTTCCATGAAGTATGTGCCCTCGTCACGGATGAGAACTCGAGGGACTCCGAATCTGGTGAACATGTTCTTCCTCATGAAATTCACCACCGTCTTTGAGTCATTGGTGGGCAACGCCACTGCCTCCACCCACTTGGATACATAGTCAACTGCGACTAAGATATATTTGTTGTTGAAAGACGGTGGGAATGGCCCCATGAAATCCACCCCCCATACATCAAACATCTCTACCTCCAAAATCGAGGTATGCGGCATCTCCATCCTTGCAGATATGTTCCCTGTTCTTTGGCACCTGTCACATTGAGCAACAAAATCACGGGCATCTCGAAATAGAGAAGGCCAATAAAATCCAAATTGTAACACCTTTGCTGCTGTCCTATGAGGTCCAAAGTGACCTCCTGCGGCCATACTATGACAGACATTTAGCACTGACTTTACTTCACATTTAGGAATACATCGTCTTACCATGGTATCAGCACAATGCTTATACATGAAGGGGTCTTCCCATATATAATTCTTGGCAATAGTGATCAACTTCTTGCGCTGTTGATAAGACAAATCAGGGAGCCTACCTGTGGCGAGATAGTTCGCAAGGTCTGCATACCAGGGAGCTTGTTGTACAAGGAGAGCATAAAGTTGCTCGTCTGGAAAAGACTTATTGATCTCAACCTTGTCCTTAGAAATTGCCTCAAGCTCAAGTCTAGAAAGGTGATCGGCTACCAGATTAGTCGAACCTTTCTTGTCACGAATTTCAACATCGAATTCCTGCAAAAGAAGAACCCAACCAAGCAATCCCGGCTTGGCCTCCTTCTTAGAAAGAAGGTGCCTTATAGCTGCATGGTCAGTGTACACAACTGTTTTCGATCCCATCAAATAAGATCGAAATTTATCAAAAGCAAACACCACAGCAAGCAATTCTTTTACAGTAGTGGAATAGTTCAATTGTGCATCATTAAGAAGCTTACTTGCATAGTACACCGCGTGCAACTTACCTTCCTTCCTTTGCCCCAAAACTGCCCCGACTGCAAAGTCGCTAGCATCGCACATAATTTCAAATGGCAAAGTCCAGTCGGGTGCAGTGATAATGGGAGCAGAGGTTAACTCCTTCTCAAGTCAATTGAAGGCCTGCAAACACTCATCAGAGAAGTTAAACGAAATATCTTTGGCCAACAAATCACATAAAGGCTTGGTGATCTTTGAGAAGTCTTTAATAAATCTCCGGTAAAAGCTAGCATGACCTAGAAAACTTCTAATTCCTTTGATTGTGCTGGGAGGGGGAAGTTTCTCAATGATTTCAATCTTAGCTTTATCAACTTCTATCCCCCTCGCCGAGATTCGATGACCAAGCACTATACCTTCTGTCACCATGAAGTGACATTTTTCCCAGTTCAAGACTAGATTAGTCTCTGCACATCTCTGCAAAATTCTAGACAAGTTAGACAAACAATGTTCAAAGCTAGTACCAAAATTCGAGAAGTCATCCATAATAACTTCAAGACTTGATTCTAACATGTCAGAGAATATGGCAGTCATGCAACGCTGAAAGGTTGCCAGTGCATTACATAATCCAAAAGGCATTCTACGATATGCAAAAACACCAAAGGGAAATGTAAAAGCAGTTTTCTCTTGATCCTCCGGTGCTACTGGGATCTAAAAATAACCGGAGTAACCATCTAGGAAGCAGTAGTGAGAATGACCCACTAACCGCTCGAGCATTTGATCAATAAAAGGAAGAGGGAAGTGATCCTTTCGGGTCGCCTCATTCAACTTCCTATAATCTATACATACTCTCCAGCCCGTAACAGTTCGGGTAGATATCATCTCATCCTTATCGTTTCTCACTACTGTCATTCCTCCCTTTTTAGGTACAACATGCACAGGACTAACCCATGTACTATCAGAGATAGGATAAATAATACCTGCATCCAATAGCTTCATTACCTCCTTTCGCACTACTTCTTTCATGTGCGGGTTTAGTCTGCGTTGTGCTTGAATTGAGGGTTTAGACTCCTCCTCTAGAAGGATCTTATGCATACAAAATGCTGGACTAATGCCTTTGATATCGGCAATTGTCCAACCTAAAGCTTGTATGTGCTGGCGTAAGACCTTCAAGAGCTCCTGTTCTTGCAAATCAGTCAGTGTAGCAGAAACAATCACAGGTAAAGTGGAGTTTTCCCCCAGATATGCATACTTAAGGTGACTAGGCAATGGTTTTAGTTCCAATTCCGGAGGCTGGATCCGAGATGGAACCATTGGCTTTGGAAACCCAGCCTTTTCATCACCCTCCACCTGCATAGGCAATGCTTCGAGCATTTGTGCCCTCTTTGACACGGTTAGCTCATCAAGTTCATTATAATAATCATCAAACTCATAATCAGCAACATAATCATTGTTCAAAATAGTATCAGCGCATGATTCTATGACATCCACAGCAAACACATCACTAGAGTCATTAGGGTACTTACTTGCATGATATACGTTGAATTTTACCTCTTCCCCACAGACTCTGAATGTCAGCTCGCCCTTTTGGACATCTATGAGAGCACCACCCGTAGCTAGGAAGGTTCTCCCAAGAATGAGAGGCACTTCTCTGTCCTCCTCCATCTCAAGAATGACGAAGTCAGCGGGGAAGATGAATTTTCCCACCTTGACTAGCACGTTCTCCATCACGCCTTCGGGGACCTTTACTGACCGACCAGCCAGTTGTAGAGTGATTCGAGTCGGCTTGATCACATCTTGGAGTCCCAGCTTCTCATAAACAGAATATGGCATGAGGTTTATGCCGGCTCCAAGATCACAAAGCGACTTTGTAAACTCTGTCTCACCAACAATACATGGGATGGTGAAGCTCCCCGGATCTTCCCTCTTCTCTGGCAATTTATTTTGGATCACAGCACTACACTCTGGTGTGAGTGTTACTTTCTCCAAATCAGTCCATTTTCTCTTCTTTGTCAACAATTCCTTAAGAAATTTGGCATACGTGGGCATTTTCTCAAGAGCCTCAGCTAGCGGAATGTTGATGTGCAATTGCTTGAAGTGATTCACAAATTTTTTGAAGTTCGGGTCCTCCAAGGGCTTCATCAACCTTTGAGGTAATGGTGCGGGTGGTTCATAAGGTTTTAGCTCCTCCCTCTTCACATTTTCCCCTGCTGGTTTTGCACAGGCAGAATGCTTTTGCACAGGCAAACTGTGGTCAATTTGCCAGTGCAAAGCTGGTTCTTCATTTTCTGCACAAGATCTTTCTCCCGGTGCTTCGTCTTCTGCCTCTGGTGCCTTTTTCGAGCTGCTGGGGTTTTTCAAAGCCTTGGCACTCCTCAATGTCACCACCACAACTTTGGCTCCTTTTGGATTCCTCTCGGTATTAGACGGTAATGTCCCAGGAATCCTGCCTTGCATATCCGCCAACGTTTGAGCCATCTGTCCCATCTGCCTCTCCATAGCTAGCATAGACGATTGTAAATTATTGTTGATGGCTAGTTGTTGAGTGATAAATTGATCCAGGCCCTTCAGATTATTGTCGGTCTGCATGTGAGCCATAAGCAATTCTTCAAGTTGTGGTTTCTTCTCTGGTTGCCGTTGTTGTTGCTGCAGGCCTGGAGGTGGAATGTTGCGAGTATAGGTGTCAAAACATAGCCTGACCCGATCAACCCGACCCGCAACCCGATCGCAACCCGAATTGACTAAAAGTCAACAACCCGAAACCCGCCCGATCCACAACCCGATTGACCCGCAACCCGACTGACCCGCAACCCGATTAACCCGAACCCGATTGACCCGAATCCGACTAACCCGTAACCCAACCGACTCAACCCGAAACTCACTTAGTCCACTTAAATAATTATTATAATATAAAATACATAGTTTTTCAAAATAAAGTTTTTCATTCTAAATTTAGGTAAAATTATTTTTTCATTTCGTATAGTGAATTGCAGACTGGGGTTCACCCATTAGGGGTT